AGTATCAAATTACCACTACTACTTACAAATATATATGTATATATTTTTTTATTAATTTATACATATATATATATCCAATGTTATAAGAATTTGTGATGTTGAATTATTGTCCTGTAAAAGGTATAAATATATGCATATATATATATATATATATATATATGTGTATACATTGCATTTTTGGAAGGTAACACAAGAGAGAATATGATATTAGTGTGCGCATTATAAGTGACTAAAAAGGACTGATCATATATATCATCCAGGGGGCATCCAGGAAGTTGATGTATATGCTGGCCATATATAAACAAACCTGTACACACCAGTGTCTTCGTTAAGTTCTTTAAACAACCCTATCTGGGTACACTGTAATATTATCGGCGTCCAACTTATCCGTTATTGTCGGTATCATGTCAACCCGGCCGACAACTGCTGCCTTGCCGTGGTGGTCGGGCTTGAATACCGCAGTGACCAAACAAGCTAAACTGGCTGAGACTCATGTCCCTGCAGGTCCTACCATGTCAGGAAGGTTGTTTAGATGGCCGTTAGACTAAAAGCAGTTACCACGAGGTACATGGGCTCCAGAATCCAATGGGATCAAATGGCGTATGAACCCATATGGGTCACCGGAAACCATGGGAACGCTGCTCCGCTGCCTTGTGGATTATACTCCAAGTCAAAGGCTCGGGAGTGGCCCCTTAAGAAAACCACCTGCTTCGGTCTGGGCGCCCAGACAGTATCTCAGCCCTCACACAATAAATGAAATAAAGCAACAAACGCGTGAGTAATTCTAAGGTTCGGCGGCGTGTGTTTGAACACAGTAAAGATCACCATTCATTGAGTGTCGTCATCTGGAAACACCGGCTCCGGTGGCTTCGACATGTGTTGCGAATGTCACCCCAGAGGCTTCCGTACAGGTGTCTGTTCGCTAGCCAGCCCTGGGACGGGATGGAAAAGGTGGAGGGGTGGTCAGTCCACGACGTGGCGTCGTGGGATGAAGGATGTTTGTGCTAGATTAGCATCGGTTGGTGCGTCACGACTCCCTGGTTGGGGTCCGCGAGATAGCTCGAATCGATGGCTTGAAACGGTATTGGATATGGCTAAGAATCGTAGTCATCAATGGTGAACGTGTTGCAATTTCCTTGTTTCTTCCCTTCCCGATGACAGTTAACGAATAATGTTAACGACTGTTTTCCTTCCACATGAAGTTCTTTATCCGTTCTCTGCTTATATTTTTTTTACTTTTGATCTATGTTGTTTTATTATTATTGTGCGGTGCATCTTTCCTGTTGCCATATTTTACTAAGCTTTTTCCGCGTTTAAATGTCAAGTAGCAAAGACGAAGTCACATTTATTTGATTAAATCCATTCAATACTAACGGTTACTTATCCCCCTTGTTAGCTTTGATTATATATTGTAACGAGAGAAGAGACAAGGGCCAGGCAACAGATCGTTGATTGAGAAAATCAAAAGATATTTCTAGATTTTTATGTACATTATTATTGGTGTTATTGTTAGCAGAGAAGCTAAGTCTTCTGATTGGCTGTTTTCTTGCTCAAGGTTATTCTGTCATTTCTTTGTTTCCGTTTCTTAGACAGTCCGTTGATAGATATCTGTGAATTGCATCCGCCCACGCTAAGTCTGCTGTGATTGGTTGTTGAGTTCCTCAAGGTTAGGCTTTGTTCTTGCCTTTTCTCTGATGACCCCGATACGAGAAGTAACATTGACGTCAATCGGTGTCTACAATTTCGGCTTGTTAGCAGCCAGCTCTCACCACAAATTATTGTAAGTGATGAGTAGTGTATGATAAACGATGCTTTTGTTACCATCGCCGATGTGTATCGACGATGTACAATTGGCGATGAGTAGTACCATCAAGTGAATAAACTCAACCGTGTCGGCGGCAATAAACACTCTAATGTTGGCTAGGGATGTGAACGGACATGTGAAAGGTGTCTAAGCTTACATGAGAATCGTCTCCTAAGGAGGTCAATGATGACAAGATAGTCACCGAGAGGATAATAGAGATGGTCTTCTGAATATGTATGTATATATATGCACCAACTTTCAGTACAGTAATCACGATTTCTCTACCCAACAAGCGCAGGCTAAAATAGATCACACTGCCATCACCTATCGAAGGCAAAGGTGAGTACAGAGGACTACTAAACACATAGAGACTTAAGCAAATTGGTTGCACAGACTTCCCTAGTTAAACATTGAAACGGGTTACACATATAGTACTGATTACTGATATATTGTAAAGAGAACAGACGAACACCGACTCAACCTTCACAGCAAGCTATGAAGTTGTGAAAAAAGTGACTTGGAGGTGAGAAGAATTTGATGTGCTTGTGTTCTCTGAGCTGGATGGTTAGTTTGCGAAGCTTTCATCGCCCCCCAACTAGGCGACATCTTCAGCGCATACTTCAAGCTATTAGATTTCTCCACGAGTTTATTAATCATCTCTCCTGGTGACCGCCTTGGACGTGACTGGCTGTTTTTGTGTATTTTCACACCTTCTAGGTTACTTGTATTGAAACTGATTGTTTCTTTGACTTGAACTTTGACCCTTTGTGTGTGTTTGAGGTTTCTTTCTTATCGGTTGATAAATTTTGGCGATTTCGACGTCTGTCTTGACGTCGTACACAAACCAACAAACTCACTTCACTCAGCTGGTTCTGTGTCAACTAAAAGACTCAACAGCGAAAGAAGATAAAACCAACATCATCTACGCCGAAGGCGGCGAAACGAGCCTTCTGTATCCGTGGTGAGATTTCGTCAGCGATCAACCCCCTCTGGTGTTGGCTGATGCTACTTCCCAAATAAGTGAAGTGGTCAACACGCTCTACCAACCACTTCACTCCCTATCTTTAAGCTACAAGTGAGTCGGTGTAATCCAGTCTTCTGTAGCATCATCTTACATTTATTTGACGACAGTTAATCAGACGCCAAAAACTGGAAGATTGCCACCAGTTGAATTACCTTTGGGTCTACTGCAATATCAGTCTGACCGTCAAATTTTGTGTGGATAACGCTTTGATGACCCCTCTTAACTGGATACACCTATTGTACCTGATTTCTCCACGCTGATACAATGTGAAAGATTCCTGTGTTCGATTGTCCCTGTAGGATGAAGGAATAATGTGTTCGGTTAGCATCTCTTTGCGAGTGATGACTCTCTTCTGGGTAGGCTCCAGGATTTCGCCAAATATGTATGACTCAGGATCGAAGCGGATAGCAGATATGCCACACTTCGCCTGTCTTTTCTATATCCAAAGAAGATATGTGGTCAACAGTGCTGCTTTTGATTCTACTTTATGTGTGTTCTTACCACCCATGCTGCTGGGTTTTTACTCCCCAAACTAATACAACATATGCACTTCTATTGTTTAGTGCAGTAAATCTTGAAATTTAATGATAATCTATTTATCTACTTATAATCAATTAAGTAGCATCGTGGATATTTGCGAAAAAAAGAAAGGTGAAGCCGAATGGAATTTAGGACATAAGTTTCCCTCGGAGTTTGAAACGATCAATGCTGGGTTCAAGTAACAGTGGGAGAAGCACTGTCGCTCATCCGCTAGGAATGCAGGTACATTCAGTAGTTGACAAGTCTCAAATAGGATGAAGTACGCATCCTGGGTTCCACTGCTAGTCACCACACCATTCATTAAGAAACAGGAGTGAGTTTTAAAGAAAAGAAGAACCTTGTCAGTCCGTGAAATGCTACACCCATTTCGACCTATGGTTATGCCGGTGACTCTGATTCACGCATATAGATAGGTCGGAATGGATTGATTGATTGGTTACAGGATTTTATCATGAGTTGACATTAGTTAGAGAACCATTAGAAACCCAGCTGGGGAGTACTGGACCAGCTGTCTCCTCCGTCTTCGTTTCCAACTCTTTAGCAGTGGACACCAACCACCACTAGGGTTCAAATCTAGGACCTTCTGGTTACAAAGCGAGTTAGCTCGTAGATCATTAAGCCACTGGGACCCAATCCATTGACCAGCCCATGAATTCTAACTTCTGCCAATTCATGCACCACATAGCGCTACCGCTAACCAATGTCTTCGGCGAGTATTCGTCCTCAAACCCGACCTACTGCGCCCTACCGGTCACGAATCCAGGTGGGTGCGTATTGCGGAAGAGTCCAAAACTAGGACGGGCGAAACAGCTGGTTGTCCAGTACTCCCTGCAGGTTTTCCAATGGTTCTCTAACCGATGTCAGCTCATGATGAAATCCTGTAACCAGTCAAATCCCCACAAACCAACACTTGAATAAAAATTTCTAAGTTGAAACTTAGTCGTTATCATTAAGTCGGTGGCACAGTGGTTAGGACTCTCGCCGACCATGCACATGGTCCGGGGTTCGAGCCCACGCCGACGCACACCTGATATCTATGGTCGGCCTGCGAAATTTGGGCTACCGATATCCACGCTGAAAATTCCATACTTGTACCAAAAGTACGGTGTGGAATCAAGCTGTAATCAAAATTTAAAAAAAAAATAATAAAAGTCATATACTATAAATGCATTGTTCAACAATGAGCTGGCGCCTTCAGTTCCACTCCACTCAATCGTTCAACCCTTTCACACTACACATTATCAACACATTAATTAAATTGGTTACAGGATTTCATTATGAGCTAGCTGGTGGCATCGGTTAGAGAACCATTGGAAAACCGACAGGAGAGTACTGCCAGACAGACTCTTCATCAGTACGCACCCACCCCACCGACAGGATTCAAACCCATGACCTTCTGGTTACCTACCTACAAGGCGAGTTAGCCCGTACTGCTGAAGAGTCCCAAACTAGGACGGAGGAAACAGCTGGGTTTCCAATGGTTCTCTAACCGATGCCAGCCAGCTAGCTCATGATGAAATCTTGTGACCAACCAATCAATCAATCAAATCCGCCTACAAACCAAATACTTAAAAAAAACATTAGTTAAACACAACACACACGTGAACACATGCAAACATTAGAATGCCTTACCTTTGGCTATCAAGCAGATGCATTTTTCTCTTCATTTTATCCTTCTTCTTTGTTGTTGTTGTTGTAGTATACGGTTCAGAAGATCGTCGATCTGAAGACCAACCTGAATGGTGCATGATGAAATTGTGCGGTAAAAATCGGCTAGTTATTTTATCGACTAAACCTGTAGAACCTGAACTAATTGTAGAATCATCACGAAGATTTTTCACTGGAGGATGACTTTGACGACCGCCTCCTGGTGATAATGATGATGATGGTGAAATCATCGGTTGTTGTTGTTGATGATGATGAATTATAGAATCCTTATTGTTATTATTACCGCCATTGTCATAACGATGACATGAACAATTACAATCACCGCTTCTCCTAACATTATTATTACTATTGCTATCATTACATGCCGATTTGAACGGTTCATTCGACAATGACTGTTCTACATCTGACTCTGGACTTGACGCTGAAAATGTTCCCGTTGATGAAAGTGAACATACAGATAATGGTGATGGAGATCGTTTCTTGTTTTCATCAATGTCTACAAAATGAACATGCTCTGTATTACTATTATTATTATGATTATTCGATGACAAATCACCACGAATAAATTCTCGACCATCTTGATAACTTGATGAATGAATACCCGATTCAAAAGAACCACTACTCTTGTATATATTATGATTATTATTACTACTATGATTAACGCCATAGCCATGCGGTAGGCTGACATCAACACCTGAAGGACTTTGATTAATATTTTCAGGCTGAGATGAATGTTGGTGTTGTTGTCGTCCGCTTTCCCGGTGATGGTGATGGTGATGACGATGTCGATGGCCTAAAATAACTGAATGCAAGATGTCCTTAGCTGTCACCATTCCAACTGGTTGACCAAATGGTTTTGTGGCGACAGCACATGATGCACTGCTTTTCCGTGTATCGAACATTATTAAACATGGCGCCTAAATACGAGAGAGGGAAAGAAATATTGAGATTAATTAACGGTAACGATATTAATAATAATAATAATAATTATTATTATTTTGCTTTATTCCAAAAACAGTACTAATGACACGGCAAGGTTTTTTCAGCATTCATTACAATATTGCATCTAATTTACTCAAAAACGACAGAAAAAAATTATAAATACACATTACATAATAGTAATAAAACGATTGTTATAGCAGCTACATAGCAAAACACTGTATGCAATACGGTGAAAAATATGCATAATGTATGAAATTGTAGTAATAATAGTAATACCAACTAAAATAAAATAGCAGAGTTATAGTTAAACGACAGAAAGGGTGACACTTTAAATTGCAGAAAGATGAACGAACGATGAAAGGGTCGATTCACTTTACTAATTACATAGTAACTTCTTATATGTTTCACGTCTAACAGTGTCTTCATCACATAAAAAAGTACGGGCTAAATAGTGGTTCGAGAATATAACTTCTTATATTGACTTCCCGTCTCACCTGATGAGATGCAAGGGGATAGTTGTGAATAAAGGGGGGGGGCGGTGCAGGGGTTCTGACAGTACGGCCTTTGCCCACTTTGTACAGGAATTTATGTGTCTCTCGACTATAGTATTAGCGAGCTCATGCAGTGGCAGACCACAAGCCCTACTCACAGCATTTAATACTCTTCGTAATATGATATAATCTTTTTTGAGAAGCCCAGGAAAGATTAATGGAGAGCAGTAGAGTACAATAGGTAAAATACAGGAGTTTAAAGATTGCAAAACTAAGGGTTGGTTGATACATGATCGTCTTAACTTTTTAATGTAGAAGGTAAGATGAAACATTTTCTTAGAGATAGATAAGATGTGAGATGACCATGAAAGGTCAGAGGAAAGAACTAATCCAAGGTATTTAATGCTTGACCTGGTTTCAATTTCCGTGCCATCTATGCTACAGGCATCATGGGAACTAAGTAGTTCATGTAAGTCACGTCGATGCTTGAAAGTAATGTCAACTGCCTGACATTTGGAAGGATTTAACATAAGACCATTTGACTTAGACCACTTGTTGATGTCCAACAGAAAGCTATTAAGTTTGGAGAAGTCAGACTCGGAAGCGATAGGCAGTGATACAGTCAGATCATCTGCATATTTGACAAAGTTAGTTTCGTTTAAATGAGACAGGTCGTGTAGAAAGAAGGAAAAAAGAAAAGGAGAGAGGACGGACGGCACCTTGAGGAACACCGGATTTTGTAAGCGAGGTGGAAGAAGATTTTCCATTATATACAGTATACTGCATCCTATCAGAAAAATAAGAATGCAACCAACTCTTAGCTCAGGATCCTGTTTGTGTCAACGATAGCTTATTTAATAAAAGGCCCCTAGGTACAGAGTCAAAAGCAGATGTGTAGTCTAAGAAAGCACCACAAACATATTTAGCACCTTTGTCTAAACAAGAAACAACATTGTGAAATAAGACAACCACAGCATCCGAGGTACTTCTACCATGTTTATACGCAAGTTGTTTAGAATCATTAATAGGTTTCAATGAGGGTTCAAGACGAAGCAAAAGTAATTTTTCCATCAATTTAAAAAAAAGGAGAAGTAATTGCAATAGGCCGAAATTTAATATCAGTACCAGAAGATGGTTTTGGCAGGGGGATAATTTTAATGTTTTTCCATGCAAAAGATAGAACTTTACCGGAAAAAGAAGCATTAAAAATGTTAGTAAGAGGGTAACACAAAATATCAACACAGTTCCTGAGGACAATGGCAGGTGCACCATCAGGACCAAGGCTTTGAGAAAGTTTAAGAGACCGGAGACATTTAAGCACATCAAGGGTATTAAAACCACTAAAATTATTGTCTATATGATGTGTAGCATTAGGAAAGATATCGACAGAAGAGCGTATGAAAGACTTATTAAGTGTCGGCATTAAGAGATGGGACAAAAGTACATCGCTTACCGCTATGTATATATATATATATATATATATATATATATATATAATGAAATGCAATTAAAATATTTGTAATTATAATCACTATCAAATCAATGTGACAAAATTGAGCTACGGATTGTTTTTGTCTGTCCTTTGTCAAACTACAATGGGAGATGTTCAGTAACACGTTGGTTGGCTGGCTAAGCTGTCTGGAAGTATTGTGCCCAAAATAACTGTCACCGCGGGTGCACTTGAACTGATAAATATATATAGAAATGTGACAAAACTATGTAGTTTATCCTTCGTTTGAGTGTCAATCATTCGTCAGCTAGAGAATGACAAACATAGATAGATTTGCTGCGTAAAAACGTTTTTCGTATACTCCTGGAATGTCCCTGGAATAAGATGTCACCTGACAAGTCACCATTAAATTGTAACCTAATTAATAGAATTTTTCCACGTGCAGGCATAGTCCCAAGTTTTCTCTCCAAGGAACCATGATTATATATTCAAATTCCTTTTGGTCAAAGTGGTCAACCGTAAAAAAATCTTTCGTGCTCTGCTCGTGAGACACTTAACAACATTTCTTTTATATTTAACGGGCCACGTAACTCTGTAGGAGTGTGTGTGTGTGTGTATAGTCCCTTGTGAATACACGCTTCTCCCAAGTAACCCATCTTCTTCTCGCCTACTTAGCAAGACATCCAGAAAATGCAGTTTAGTATCCTACTCCTCTTCACAAGTAAAAGTAAGCGAAGTGGGTGGATGTCGTTGTATTCAATCAACAATTCGTCTTTATATTTACATTCCCATTAACTAAGATAAATGTATCAGTGTCAGGGAAGACAAAAGAAAATGTTATGAAGCCATGTCAAGTGAAGCAGAACAAGCTGCAGGCAGAGGAGACCTCGCCACACTCTACCAAACAACTAGGTACATATCGGACAAAAGTTCAACACAAATTAAGCCAGTGAAGGATGACAATGGAAAGTCAATTATCAAAGAAGTACAGCAAAGAAAACATTGGGCTGAACACTTCAAACGACTTCTAAATCGACCGCCATCTACAACGCGCCCAACAATACCAACAACGGAAGCAGAACTACCGGTGAACATCGACCCCCCGACGAAATCAGAAGTCCTGAATGCCATCAAGATGCTAAAAGCTGGGAAAGCACCAGGACCAGATGGAATCCCAGCAGAAGCTCTGAAAGTGGACCCAGAGACAACAGCGGACCTGATGACGCCATTGCTGGAGAAGGTCTGGAAAGAGGGCAAAGTACCCGAGGATTGGAAGAAAGGATACTTATTCAAACTGCCAGAGGAGGGAGACTTAAGTCAATGCAAGAACTGGCGTGGAATTATGCTTCTGTACATTCCAAGCAAAATACTAAGCCGCATCATCCTGGAGAGAATCAAAGAAGCCAACCTGGATGAAAAACTTCGACCGGAACAGGCAGGATTCAGGAGAAACAAGTAATGTATTGATCAAATCGCCACACTACAGATTATCCATCATTGAACAAAGCTTGGAATGGCAGTCACCTCTCCACCTCACTCAGCTTCATCGACTTTGAACAGGTCTTCGACAGCGTCGATCGAGAGGTCATTTGGAAACTACTTCGCTACTACGGGGTGCCAGTGACAATTATACATCTCATCCAACAGTTGTAAGACAATGCTGGATGCCAAGTAATCCACAACGGGAAACTTACGGAAGCCTTCGAAGTGAAGACGCGAGTAAGACAGGGAAGGCTGGCTGTCTACTATCTCCAGTGATTTTCCCGATTGCAGTAGATTGGAAAATGCAACAGAAGGCGGGCAATGAGGAAACAGGAATAAAATGGACTCACACAAAATAAGGACTTGAAGGATCTGGATTTCGCTGACGATATATATCTGATTTCCCACAAACTGGAAGATATGCAAATGATAAGCAACAAGTTGGCAGGAAAAGCATCCAGAGAAGATGGGACTTCAGTTGAACATAGAGAAATTGGAGACGGAGGTGATGAAGATTCCAAGGCAACACCAACAGCAACACCAACAGACAACAATCAGCATAAATGGGAGAAATCTGAAAGAAACAACTTCCTTTACCTATCTCCTTACCTGGGAAGCATCGTTTCAATTACAGGCACACAGAACTGACGAGGATATCAAGGCAAGGATCGATCGGGAAAGCAAGACAGGCTTTCACTACTCTCAAGTCTGTGTGGAGGTCAACAGCACTCGGCATCAAAAATAAGATCCGGATTTTCAACCCCAATGTAAAGTCAGTGCTACTTACTATAAGGATTAGAGACTTGGGGCGTCATAAAAAGCACCTCAAACAAACTACAGACCTTCATTAACAGCTGTCTTCGCTCAATACTGAAGATCAGATGGCCGGCCAGAAAAGATCAGCAACAGAGATCTCTGGCAATGAGCGGACCAACTTAGCAGGAACCGATTGTGCAACAAATATGCAGGAAGAAATGGAGACGGATTGGTGGCCATACTCTGAGAAAACAAACCATCGTCAAGTGACATCACTAGACAAGCCATTGCTCGAGTGGAACCCGACCGAATGAGAAGCGGCGAGTTGGCTGGTCGTCAGTGAGAGGGTGACTTGGAGGAGGTCATTCGAAGGAGAGAGGAAAGCTTGTTGGCAGATTTGGAGTGGGGTGAAAAAGTTGGGAGAGAACCGAACGCAATGGAGACGTGCGTGGCTGAAGCCCTATGTTCCTCTAGGAATTAAGGGAAATAATGATGAGATAAATGTATCATCGACACAACAGCTGGATACATAGGATGTTCATCGTAAAAAAAATATTCCACACCACTTTCGAGAGTACTTTCCAGTTTAGCTGAGAAAAGAAGAGCGTAAATCTATGAAATCATCTATGTTGCAATATAAAGTCGACAGTGACCATGTGGTATCTAATGCTTCCTTTAGTATAGGCTTTAAAATCCGGCGGAGTTTACAGAAAGGAACACAAGGGCATTTGCTATGGTATAACGGATGTTTCAACTAGGATATTGCAGTCTGAATTGTTTAACCTACATTCGACTTTGTCAATTTCATTTTGTGTAATGTTTAGAGTCATCATGTGTAATAATCACGAAATTGAGGAACTAAAGAGGTGCTGAAAAACAACGGTTATCCTCAAAGATTCATTAACAAAGATGTGGAAGATATGAAGGCTCAAATACCAAACAAATCACAAATGAAAAAAGTCTGTCATCATTCAACTAGATTTTAAGGATGAAGACATTGCAGAAATGATCAATAGAAGACTGAGAACGTCACTAGCCAGAGCCTATCCTGCAGCTAGCTAAGTTGGGTCCCGCGTCCATCGAACAACATGCTCTTTGGTGCAGTTGAAAAGTCGATAGATACCCACTCTTCTCATGTTAACTCCAACTGTGTATACAAATTTACGTGTATCTGCAGGAGCAGTTCCCATTGGGAAAACAGAAAGAAGGGCACACCTCCGATTTTATGAACATGTGCCGAAAAGCCTACGCGTCAAGGGAACAAACTCTTATAGTAGCGCGATTACCAGACATCTCCTTGACACGGGTTATGAGGTGGAAATCACGAAATCCTTTAGAATTATCAATAGATAAAGGAGCTCAACTCTCCTCAAGTTTGCCGAAACAATCTCTATCAGACGCTTGAAACCAGATTTATGTGTGTTCAGAAAGAAGCAGTTATTAGTCTTTCCTTGCCCTGGTAACTGAATGCTTTTATTCTCTCATCTGATTACGTATTCTTTGTCTTTAACCTAAACCCCTTTTATAATCTGTAATTTTGCTTGTCTCTTGTTTCTATGATTTGAGTTCAACTCAGTACATTGTTACCTAACTTATTAGTCACTATGCATCTAACGCACATCTCATCTTTATTATGTAACTCCTTATATGCATACATTTATTTTGATTTGAACTGCCTGCGAAATAAATTATATAAGCGAAATTTTCTGAACATTGTTTACTAATTGTGGAACTTTTTGTCAACTGACAACATGTAAAATTTGCAAGTATGTTAAAACGTTTCTGTACGTAAACCTCATAATTTATTTAGGCTGTAAGCAGCAGCTGAACTGATGAGAAGCCAACGAAATAAACGAAGGATGGTACCATCATCTTATTCTGCAAAAACCGCCACCGTTGTTCTTGCTTCATTCAAATTCATCAAGGGAATAAATGCATTATGAAACTCAAAAGACTCTAACTCTCTAACTAATGTCAGCTCATGATGAAATCCTGAAACCAACCAAATCCCTACAAACCATCGATTGAAAGAAGTTTTTACTTTTATTATATCTAACAGTATGGATCATGTCCTGTTTAAATCTTAATTTCTACCAAATGAGATAAACATTTGTTGCATTCATATTCCGTAAACATTTCTTCATTTCCCTTGGTGTTACAAGTGGCAAATAAGTCTCCAAACTTTGTAGTTTCCGTAGCTGGGGCGTTTCTTTCTACAGGAAGGGGTTGCTAACCTCAAATAGCACACACACACACACACACCTTCCTCCCTCTTCATTGAGTTAACCTACCGACTGACTAGTCAAGATTGCGTCCGCCAGGAATCGGATGCGGAACCATGTGTGGTGTGGTTGACGAGCATTCTGCCACTGTAACACCAACGCACAAATGTGCCATCGGTAGTGAATCAGTGTGTGTGGAGAGTTCTAAAATCTGACAACACCTGGCACTTCCCCTCCAGCTAGTCACAGAACCAACTTCGCTTAATTTCAATGATCAGGAGAGGAGGACCGGTGTTTCCAAGGTGGTATGGTCGCTGGAAGGTGTATGTTGGCGGGAGAATACAAACCCAGGCTTACATTGTGAACCATGTTGAGATAAGAACTGACAACCTGACTTCACATATATAACTGACTAGCTGAACCACACATAGAAGTGTAACCAACTGAGTTATACTCTACAGGAGGTTTACAGTCAAAAACGAGAAAGCGCAATTATTAATGTTCTCTGAGCTGGTTGATTTACTTGCGGATATTTCGTCGTCTCCTCGCTGCTGGACAACATCACCTTTCAGCACAATATTTAGCATAAAGTGAACGGATTTAAATTTTTCATGAGTGATAGAATTGTGTCTCCCTGTAACCATTTTCACATATTTATTAACCATTTTCTATTGACTTGGATTTTAAACTTTCTCGTCACATGAGATTTACTTTTTATTAGTTGGTGGTCGATTCGGTCTATATTAACGTGTTTGTTAATTGCTGGCTGATTCGTTTGAGTACTAGGCTTGGCTTCTAGGACTTCCCTGACTGCACTTCTCCTGGTGTTTCGACATTGTCCCAGTTATCAAACTCAAGTCCATAATTGTCTATATCCATTGATATGTAACAGGAATATATTTGTCGTGTCTTTGCACGGCTGATTTGTCTTCCTGGATTCTGATTCAAAGGGGACAGACACCCACTTCGACCACCGATGTAATGCCTGTTACAGTTCATATAAAGTTTAAAATCCAAGTCAATAGAAAATGATCAATACATATGTAAAGATGGTTGGTCACTAGGAGACACAATTCTATCACTCATGAAGAAATTTAAATCAGCTCACTTTATGCTGAAGGGGGATGTTGTCCAGCCGGAAGATGACGGAAGCTCCGCAACTAAACCAACCAGCCCAGAGAACACTATTAATTGCAAATTATCCCCACCTCAGCTATAAATCTTCTCTATGATTTCAACGAGAAAGAGATTCCAGAGTCATCTTTCTCCGCATACGCCTCATGAGTAAAACTTCAATAGGTACACAAGTTCACAGTGGAACACACGAATAGGTCAGTAAACTTTGCTAACTTGACACTGTTTGTAAAAAGAAACTGAGCGTTGCATAATCAATTACTCTATGTGCACATAACATACTGAAAGGCATTCAAACACAAATAACCCCATTATAGACAAGACTTACTTTAAGCCGAAACATACGATCCAAGACGATAGCCAGTGTCTCAGTGACGAAGCAAACACAGTTTTGTTGAGTTGGACAATGCTGTTAAAAGAGAAAAAATATAGACAGACCGTATATACACCAGGTGAATCAATCGACCATAAATGACTATTATTCATTAACAACAGAATGAAAACAGATAAACTGACGAATTGAAACATGTAGCCTGTATAGAGGATTAGACACATCACACTAGTTACTGGCAAGTGTCCAATCAAAATATCCACTACAGTCCTACAGGAGGTCAATCGCGAGCCTTAATAGCTCAATGGTAACGTCTCTGAGTGCAGGTGGCACTGGGTGACGCCAGTTCGAATCTCAGAAGAGACATGAGTTCCTTCAAGGCAGTTGCAGATACGCCTTGCTAACTGACTGACTGGTGAGTGCCAACTAGCACGAAACCTAGGTCAGACTTGACTTCCTGCCGATTACCTCCAACTATCTAATACTACAATAAACAAGATAGCGTACTTTGAACCCCATTCTTCGTGTACAGAGCTGAAGGTCACAAATAATGGGTGGAGTGAGAAAGTAAGGGTGCAGGTAAGAGAGAAAGAAGGGAGGTGGGGGGTGAAGATAACATTGAGTCACTTAAACATTGGTTCTAGATTGGATTAACACGGCAAATAAATTTTGGACACAAACTTGTTTTAAATAATATGGTTTTTCAAGACATTATTGAAACCAACCACCTTATGACCTGTCTCTATAATAATGTGCTTCACTATAAATGATACTGGACATATATATTTCTTGGATTAGTTGTATCCGGTGATTTTATTTGTTGTTATAGTCACTATGGAATATGTTCTGTAGCCAATTCTTACAGAGGCCTAAGTCGCCCTTCTTTGATGATAGCTTGACAAGGTAGACACAGTCTTGCTTAATTTATGTGTCCAAAAGAAGAAGTTGGTTCAGACACTATCCTTACCCACATGGCCATATAGGTTTGAATGATCCTCAACTTTTTGTAGAAATTTTCCTAATTTTAGTTGATATTCTATATGCTATTATATCTTTATTATGATGATAATTTAAGCATCTTGAATGAACTGGGATAATTCCATTATGATCTTACTTAACAAATCGATATTATTTATAAATAAATACTAATATTGTTATTGAATCCAACGAATATGCACACTTGATAAAGAAGAAAGTTGACACAAAAACTCTGGTCGATAATAATTATCCAGACAAGTTCATCAGGAGATATAAGGTAATCAGAACACCAAGACCCATTCACCAACTCGCCTCTAAGAGAGATGTGTACATCAAGCTACCCTATATGGGGTATCATAGCAGTTGGATAACTAGACAAAGATTGAACGTTGCTGTTAAAAAGACTTTTTATGCAGCTAATATCATAATAATAGAGAATATAAAGTCAATATATCTATTTAAGCCCTTTGAACATGCGAAAAATGATGTGACATCCCACTGTATTTACCAGTTTTAATGTACATGTGACCACATATACATAGGGAGTACTTACTCATCGATCTCTGCAAGTAAGGGCTGGCTTCAGAGCATATCCCACTAAATAGTTCCAAAAGCAAATAGAATCATCAGAACCTACTAACGGTGAGAACAGGGGACCTAGCTCTTCTATTGTGAAACATATTATAGAGACAGGACATATAAAATTGACGTTAACAGATCTTTTAAATCTATCTATCTATTAAAAGTGTTTGGGGGAGGGCGTATCCTAAAGTTTGTGGAAGCTCTAGTTGGCGATTAGAAAGTTTAAGCCACCTTTATGCGTTCAAAAACAAACAATTCGTCATCACATAAAAAGCCTTCCTTGGTAAACTTTGTTTTGATACCATAGAAGATGTACTATTACTTCTCTCTTATTTGGTTTAGTGATCTTCATTGTTATTTTGACCTTCAATATGGTGGCCTTTTACCTTGACCTAAGTGGTCAATTTTCTCACCTCTTAACTCTTTATTAATTTGTTTATTAATTTATTTGTGTGCGTCGGTGGCACAGTGGTTAGGACTCTCGCCGACCATGCACATGGTCCGGGGTTCGAGCCCACGCCGACGCACACCTGATATCTATGGTCGGCCTGCGAATTTTGGGCTACCGATATCCACGCTGAAAATTCCACACTTGTACCAAAAATACGGTGTGGAGTCAAGCTGTAACCAAAAATAAAAATAATAAAATAAAAATTTCATATATATTCCTATGATAAGTCGGTGTGTGTGATCAGATTGTTCGAAATGTGTTGTGCTCGCAATTACACATTGCACTCTTCGGACAAATTACGTCTTCTTATTGCTTTATCTAAATTCATAAAGGGAACTAACTGTTTTAAAATAATAATAATAATGATATCGCATCAAATCATCTTCTGACATATTGATGGAATATTACTCTAGACTGTGTGTGTGTTGGGGGGGGGGTGTTATTCGTAGTAATTTGCGGGAATTCAATCGATTTGCTGCATTCACACACAAACAATAAACTTGACTTTGCGTCATCACAATACACAGCCTTGAACGACGACTAACTCTCCCCACTGAGGATACACAGATCAGAGATAGAAAATGAGTGAAAATTCGTCAAAACTTAAAACAAACATACAAACAAATAAAAACGTACCAGTGACTTTTTCTCCATTATTTTACTGATTGGTTCATCCAATGCAGTATCCGGTGTAGAACACATGATAAAATTCTAGGGAAAGATTAAAAACAAAATGGCAAAAATTTTTCTTAAATTGGTTTCACTGGTTGCTAATGTCTCATGTAATGGGAGAGAAAACCAGATTGGTTGTAATGGTGAGTGAGGTTCGCACCTTCCACCGGTCTCTTATCAACTTTTTATAGAACCCTACAGCAGTACAAGCCGATCAAACTCACTCACTCACTCACTCACTCACTCACTCACTCACTCACTCACTCACTCACTCACTCACTCACTCACTCACTCACTCACTCACTCACTCACTCACTCACTCACTCACTCACTCACTCACTCACTCACTCACTCACTCACTCACTCACTCACTCACTCACTCACTCACTCACTCACTCACTCACTCACTCACTCACTCACTCACTCACTCACTCACTCACTCACTCACTCACTCACTCACTCACTCACTCACTCACTCACTCACTCACTCACTCACTCACTCACTCACTCACTCACTCACTCACTCACTCACTCACTCACTCACTCACTCACTCACTCACTCACTCACTCACTCACTCACTCACTCACTCACTCACTCACTCACTCACTCACTCACTCACTCACTCACTCACTCACTCACTCACTCACTCACTCACTCACTCACTCACTCACTCACTCACTCACTCACTCACTCACTCACTCACTCACTCACTCACTCACTCACTCACTCACTCACTCACTCACTCACTCACTCACTCACTCACTCACTCACTCACTCACTCACTCACTCACTCACTCACTCACTCACTCACTCACTCACTCACTCACTCACTCACTCACTCACTCACTCACTCACTCACTCACTCACTCACTCACTCACTCACTCACTCCAATGGTCCCAGATACTCTACCCTGTAGACAGTCACTAGATGAGTAGCAGCAGGTTAATCAAATCCCTGCAAACACAACAACATTTCAATTTCAGCTTGTCCTACTTGTATTAACTTCGTTAGTGTTATACTCGTTCCATTTCACAATCCACACAAGTGAGTCATTTAACTTACACAGTATGGTATTTAAACGTGCGCAGAATGTTCACTGTAACAAGCTGCTTACTACATGTCTACTCATCATAAATACGGAACCAACTGTGAATGGCCTTAAGCATAATTTTCAAGAGTCAGTTTATAAGGATCTCTCATTTGTATTTCAACTTTGACCACAGATTCATAATCATTTAGAAAATACCTGAAAACCACCAGGAGGTACTCACTCGATAGAGCTGTTGCATGATGTTAGATGGTTGGAGGCAATCGGCAGGAAGCCTTGAACCAGGAGCTGTTGCATCCTGGTAGTCAGGAATCATCGGCAGTAGCCACCTACCTACCCACTGGGGTTTCGAACCCAAGACCTTCCGGTTATCAGGGAAAGCTCACAGACCATTAATTCAGTCAATAAGAATCGATCCAAGGACTAACCCATTAAATTCCAACTTTTACCAACTCGTGATTTCAGTGTAACCCCCGGTGGGATGTGGGCTGTTGAAGAGTTCCAAACTGAGGTGAAACAGCTGTCCAGTACTCAAAATACTGCTTTATAGTAATTCTAACTAACTGATATCAATTCACCATTTAAAAACTTGAAACAAATCGAATTCGTAAAAACTAACTCTTGAAAAGGTTCTCCTCATCGACGAAATCATCTCTTCACAGGCTGTACAGTAGTCGTATTTATACTTACAAAAAATATGTGGTGGTCTATTAATAAAATTAATTAAAGGGTGACATAATTGATATAATTACTCAGAAGTGGCTTCAGAAGTAAAAATAAAAAGTTATAAATTATGTAATACGCAAACAGCACAATAGAAGAAAGCGTTAGAAATGTGATAAGGTTAAAATTGTTATTGAGTGAGAAGAAAGCCGGTAGTTGAATGTCCATGAAAGGAAGGGGGAAGAGGGTGAGAAAACGCATAAATAACAAAACATGTAAGAGTGACAATACTGAATTAATTATTAAAGTAAAAGCAAAGTAATCATTAAAAAAATAAAAAATAAAAAAATTTACGGAGAAGGACCAACGAAGAGGCTAAAACCACGGTTGAATAAAAGACTGGACAAAACATTTTCTGCATACAGAGTTCGGTGTTGTATTGCCGAATTGTCAACGCCTCCGCCATACACAAATACCGAAACCTGACACCGTTTGGTCTCACCTTGTCGATAATCTTAAAAGACGGCTTTAGTAGAGAGCTGCATGGCTTAAGTTCATCAGGTGCTCAAGAATTCAATTAGTAACTATCTTGCATTGGTCTGTTGCTGACTATGCCACATAATAATGTTCAGAGATGCGTCTGGAAAGTTTGCTCTTTGTGCGGCCAATATAAATAGCTCCGCAGGAGCAGCAGGTGAATTTATAAACACACATATTGAAGTGGTCCGAATCAGCTGTTTATCCTTCAACAAACCTATTGATCATTTGTCCGCTGTAGAAATTGATCCGTCTCTCAGTTGCAAAACAAGGCTTTCCTCATTGATCTGGATAAGCGGTCCTTCAGAACCCCAACTGGGGTATCACTTTTAAGTTCAACGTTCATAAACATCAGTTTCTTAAGCACAGTTTGGGTTCTTTTGAGTTTTTGCTTCCCTTCCGTGTTTTTCTCGATAAATCTTGTCAGATATCCATTTTCCATGAGAACTCATTTTAGTCTCTCCAATTCACTATACATTTAGTAAGTAATTATAACAATTATATTATCCTCCAGCTATTCAACAACGGACTACTCTATATATTTTTTCGGGTAAATATACCATACGACTGTACAGTCTTTGAAGAGACGATTTCATCGATGGATGAAAACTTTCTTCACTGAATTGTCTTTTATTTTCTTTTTCAGGAGTTTGGCTTGTAAGGATTAGATCTGCTTAAACGAGTTTAACCACAAATTGATTATATCAGTTAGAGAACCATTGAAAACCAGCACCGGAGAACTGGACAGCTGTTTCGTCCTAGTTTTCGGGAGTCATCAGCAGTACGCACTCCGCCAGGTTTCAAACCCAGGAATTTCAGGTTACAAGGCCAGAAAGATCTGTCTGTTTTCGACATAGAACTTTGCATCGATGTGCACCAGTTCAAGTCGCCACACTCCCCCACTCCATGTACCACACAAAGCAACAGAAGAAAGCAAAAGAAGAAATGCATAATGGAGACAGTAAACAGAGGTGTGAGACAAAGGAGTAGTAATAACGAAGAACAATATAGTTTCATTTGAAATCATAAGTCACAAGGAGTAGGTGCATCTGAGCCAGCCATTGAGGACGATTTCGAGCTGGTCATATCACCAATTGTTTCCAGCCATCGGTTTTTACCATCCCGAGGACCCCAACCAGTCATGAAGTCTACACCTTCCTACGTGGCTTAGACTAACTGTCGTAGATTTCATTGACTGGTGCCATGATTTGGTTTCACCTCCACTAGCTCTTTTCCAGCCTGACTCTATATCAGCTAACATTGCCCACTGGTCGGGGAAGGCGATGACTAGGCATCCGTAACACATGTCCTAACCGTCTCAGTCGATGTAACTTCAAAACCTCGTCGATTGATTTTCCCTCCCACCTACCTAGCACTCAACGCCTAACCTCAATATTGCTCACTTTATTATAACACTTCAAACGGGAAATAGAACGCAGGCACCTATGATCAAAGACAGCTAATCTTTTCATGTCTTCCACTCTCAATGGCCAGCAAGCTCGTATACCATTCAGCTTCTTCGAGACGATTTGTTGGCCAACATATGAATTCTATTTTCTACCAATTCGTGATGAGTTTAGCGCGACCAACAACCAATGTCATCGGTGGGACATCCATCCAGACACGTGACATCCGGATGAACCTCACTGGTCACTACTTCTCACTAGAACTAACCCCATGAAACTCCATCCTGTAGTAAGTGATTAACGAGCACCAGATTAATTTTCAAGAGTTTGCCTTGTAAGGATTAGATTTGTTTATAAGAATTTGACCTCGGATTGATTATATCAGTTAGAGAACCATTGAAAACCAGCCACAGGAAATACTGGACAGCCATCTGTTTCATCCTGGGGTCCGAACCCAGGACCTTATGGTTACAATGGGTATTTTTCGGTGTCTTAAAAAGTCATCATCTGCACGTTTAATTTATCGAGCTTCATTTAGAAAAGTATTGACAATAACTTTGCAATATATATATATATATATATATATATATATATATACAGACATACAGCTCTACTGTAAATTGTTGTTATATGTATGTATATTTATACCACTACCCATCTGAAAGAATTGTAAAAGAAACAATGATAAATGATAAATAACACGAAGACTGAAATTACTGAGATTTAGGGAGATGTTTTGTTGCCAAAATAAATAATAATAATTATTAATATTATATAAATCTATATATTCATGAGACGAAAAAATGTATGCAACTGATTCAACACACGCATGCAAATACACACTATCAATACAATGGCATTAATTAATACGAACGAACTTGGACACACAAACATACACACATACACACACAGACGGGGAGACAATGAAGAACAATTTCAAAACTTGAACAGCTGTTTCATCTCCTTTCATTTCATTATTGAACATATGATGATCAACACCTCCCACAACATATCAACTGATTCTTACACAAAGTGATTTACAAAATCAACAGAAACCTACCAAAAGCAGTATGTGCTATTAGATGGTTGGAGGCATCAATGTGCACCGTGATGTCCAGCTACCTAGAGAATGGTGGCCACATAGCAAAACCTCACTGATAGAATTCAGTCTGCACTAAAGAAAGGACTAGACACATCACACTAGTTACTAGTGTCCAATCAAAAGTAGTATGTTCCCGACTTCTCTGTACTGCAGAAGCCCTCGAAATATGCATCGCGAGGAGTCGGAGCTGTGTGTTCAAAAGTAATTAATCCAACCTCTACAACTACCATGGACCTAGTTCGGTATGTTCGCTTAGCTTCCCTTTTTTTCTTCTTTCGTTCGCTGTGTGTCTGATCGTTACTCCCTCAATCTTCATTCGATTCACCCCATTTCTGTTTTCAGTTATAAAAAGTTAATTTAAGTTTGTTTCCATGCTTTTCCTGTTCACATTTATAATTCGTTTAAAAACAATCAACTATTTTACAATTATATCTTAATCCTGTGCAATTTTTGTGTTTCTAAGGCTCTTGTAATCTATATTCACACACCTCCTAACTAACATTTCAAGTTGAAAATTTTGATTTCAATTTTGTTTTCATTCTAATTTTTATACACACTTGTTATCCGTTCTAATCCTGTGTAATTTTGTTTCTAAGCCCCTCGTAAAAACCATCCATATCTAGTTGAAAATAATTGTCACCTTTTATTCACCGTCGTAATTGTGTGGAATCAAACAAGAATTGTATCCACGTAAAATTATGTATTTAAATGCGATTGTACAGCTACTTTTGAAAATGAAATCGCCGAAAAGCCAGATATCTTTCCTGAACTTCATATTGTCATCTTTCTAATGTTCATTTCATTTCATGTACAAAATTTATAACTCTCTATGTAATCCAGTTAAAGAATACCACAGAATCTTGTAATAATCAGCATGTGTGTGTGTACACAATCTCGGTTAAAATGACCTATGACCTCTCCACTCACTCACTCACTTTACTCTGGCTAAACTTTGGACTTTAGTGTGAGATTATCCCGGTTGTCGGTCAAAGGATGTGTGTGTGTATATATACTATTCAGCGACAGTTCATTCTATCCTCCTTTATGGCTGGTTGGCTGTGAGTGAGACATAGCCATTGAAAGTGGAAGACAAGAAAAGGCTGGTTAGTTAGCTAGCTAGCTGTCTTTGATGTGATAGGTGTCTGTGTTCTATCTCCTGTGTGAGTAAGAAGGGAAAATCAATCAATGAGGAGGTTATGGAGTTACACCGATTGAGATAGTTAGGATATGTGTTACCCATACATGCCTAGACATCGATCGCCTTCCTCAACTGACCAACGGGCAATGCTAGCTGGCTGAAACAGGATGGCTAAGGTTGTAAAAGAGTTAGCTGGTGGTGGTGGTCAAACCAAAACATGGTCTAACCATCAGTCAGTGAAATCCACAACAGTTAGTTTAAGCCAGCCAGCTAGCCAGTCACGTACGGAGGTGAAGACTGGCTTCCTGGTTGGGTTCCTCTGGATGGTAAGAACCAGTGAAGGCGACTGGAGACAATTATCGGTGATATGTCTGGCTCTAAGTCGTTCTCGGTGACGACTGGCGCAGATACATTCACTGTTTGTGATTTGCCAGTCATATCCAATAAAACTGTATTGTTCTTCCATATTACTAATCGTTTCCCGGCACTCACATCTGCGTTTATTATAATCTTTTTTTTTTGATAAATCTTCCTTTACTCTCTTCTCTTGCTTTGTGTGCTGCTGCATGGAGAGGGTGTGGCGACTGGAACTGCTGCGTATCTGTGCAAAGTTGTTCTACGTTAAAACCAATTAGTCAGTCAGTCAGTGGTTATCATTCAATATTGTCAGCCGACGTGATTCAACCTAATTAACTATCTAAACTTGACAAACCTCATGTACACACACACACACACACAGGTAATCGTATATAAATGCGATCGTACAGCTATATGAATGAATTCACCATCGAAATGAGTCTCTCTTCGCTGAAGGTCTTCTCTTTTTTTCATATGACTCAATGGGGGAATTTTTAAGCTACTTCCAACTTCTGCTAACATATAGCAATCACCATCCAGCCAGTCATCAGAAAGTAACTATTCTACGACCTCACCCCACTTAATCGACACCGCTGGTCCCGACCTTTAACTAGTACTCCAGTTTTCAAGTGTTAGATCGGGCTCATCTTCGAACCCCTGGAAGTGGGTGTCTACTGCTGAAGAGTTCAAAACCAGAAGGAAAAAGCCATCCATTACTCTTATAATCTGTACAAAAGATATCATCTGAAACAAGTTAACTCTGACATTCATAAGGCAAAGTTTAACTTTCGACATCACTAACAACCAATCAGCAACCGACCTTGAGCTAACGTTCGTGAGTCTCATTGGATAATTCGACGTCGTTCGTTGATTGGTAGTAAGTGGTGCTTAAAGTTTAACTTGGCCATTCATAACTTCAAACCAAACCTTCTCCAAAAAGTGGCTAATTTATAATCATACATCGACTTACCAATAAATCACCAGGTGAAAGTAAACCAATAAAATCAATAGGTCGTAATTGATCATTATCAACAAAATGTATCACTGGAAGACATGGTAGCTGGGGTAACCAACACATAAACACGTGTAAAGCATCAGAAACACGATCGGTTAGGTGTAAAACTGGAACTTCTTTTAGTTGTGTTAAATAATCATTATTGAATATTGTGGATGATGATGATTTATTCAGGGATGGTGATATATAATTAGAAGAAGTTGATGAATTTACTTCAGCAGATTTTCCTGGATAACGTTCAATCCAACGAAGTCCATGAACAGAACCAATAGGCATCTAAAAAAAAGAATAAGAATTGAATTGAAGTTATTTCTTCAAAGCTTCGATAGTATGAAAAAAGATATAGGCCAAATGCTTTTGAACAGCTTGATTGTATTTTTTTTTCTGTCTGTCTGTTTTCGACATAGAACTTTGCATCGATGTGCACCAGTTCAAGCCGCCACACTCCCCCACTCCATGTACCACACAAAGTAAGAGAAGAAAGTACAAGAAAGGCATAATAGAGACAGTAAACAGAGGTGTGAGACAAACGAGTAGTAATAACGAAGAACAATATAGTTTCATTTGAAATCAAAAGTCACAAGGAGTGGATGCATCTGAGCCAGCCATCACTGAGAACGATTTCGAGCTGGTCATATCACCAATTGTTTCCAGCTATCGGTTTTTACCATCCCGAGGACCCCAAACAGGAAGTCTACACCATCCAACGTGACTAGCTGGCTTAAACTAACTGTTATAGATTTCATTGACTGGTGCCATGTTTTGGTCTGACCGCCGATAGCCAGCAAGTGTTTTCTTTTGCTGCAGCTCTACTCTCCCCCACCTTCCTCCATACATGCTGATATTTACCAATAAAGACTGTTCCTATTCAGGCACTTAACCTGGGTTTCTAGTGGGAAGCTATGACTGTTAGGAAGAGGTAAAACACATGCAATTATCAAGTTATTAGCGTGTCGTTGACATGCATTTGTTTCTGCTTTCTGATTGGACGCTTGCACAATTCCAAACTCTCAACCGGATTGCTTGATTTCCAGTCTACATTATTTTTGTATAAATACAGTCATTTTTGTCATAAATAAATGATTCTGGTTTTACCGCTGATTATCGCGTGTTCTGCTTTACCAGTTAAGTAGGCATTAGTCAGTAGTTAAGCAGTTACCTCGTGACAAAGTTCTAGCATCATAACAGTGACCAGTCGGGTACAGCAGGTTGAAGATGAGGCAGTAACTCATCAGCGAAGAAGACATTGTGAAATGGTCGCACTATGTCGTGAACTGTCAGAAGTTAGAATTCATGGGTTGGCTGGCCATTGGATCGGGTCTCAGTGGCTCAATGGTCTACGAGCTAGCTCACCCTGTAACCAGAAGGTCCTGGGTTCGAACCCATGTGGCGGGTGGGTGCGTACTGATGAAGAATCCCAAACTAGGCTGACGAAACAGCTGTCCAGTACTCCCTGCAGGTTTTCCAATGGTTCTCTAACTGATGCCAGCTTTTGATGAAATCCCCCATGCAATTTACTAAAACATCAAAGACAAGATCCCTGCGTGTGTTGCCAGATTTAATGTGTAGTTACCAGTTTGACTTGTCATTGTTGTTGGCGGTGTTGTGGATTTGGGTATATAAGGAATAGATGCAGTACACCAACCAACAAGACACTCATTGTTTACATGTGCAAATGTGAACACCTCTACCGGTATGGTGTGTGCTACTGACAAGACTTTTCAGTAGTATATATACTTACTTACTTTACTTCGGCTATCTCCTACGGGAGGATGAGCCGGCTTCATGAACGTCTCGAATCATCGCTGCCCAGGCGCGGCAATTTGTAAGAGAGTTCATGAAGTAGTATATATAGGTACAGATTGATTGAGAAGCAGGCAAAATTGGCTGAAGAATCTGAATTTATTTTACGTTGTGGTCAGGAGATAATCTCATTGGCCAACATTTCATTCGTCAAATTGACACATACAATCAAAACAGTTTATTGCCCGTCCGCTGATCTAGCTAGACCATGAATACTCGCCCAATCACATCACATGTCACCCGGTTTTCCATTTCAAGTCGATGGATTCCATGAAGACTTCTGTAGCCTATGTGAAGAGAAAAAGTTTAGCGCGACAGGTTGGCAACCTCACAACCACCACCACCCCACCCCATAAGACTAAAACAACACCATTGCTACTGGAAATTCAAAACGCAAGCAAGCATGAAGTTCTATTTTCCCCTCGGAATACAAATATAATGAATACATACACACACGCAACTTAATGCCTTTTTTATTTCTTGTCTTCTGCATTAAATCCGCCCAATCTATAGTCAAAAACAGAAATTTTCAAGTATTGATTTTGTTTGATTGGTTGATAGATTTCATCATCATGAGGTGACATCAGTTAGAGAACTATTGGAAAACCAGGAGGGAGTAAGTATTGAACAGCCAGCTGTTTTCACCGTCCTGGTTTGGGACTCTTCATCAGTCCGCACCCGCCCGCCCACGAACCCACCGCCAGGGTTGGAACTCAGGAACTTCCGGTTACAAGGCGAGCTAGTAGCTCGTAGACCATTAACCACCCACTGGGACCCAATCCAGCGACCAGCCAGTGCATGAATTTTAACTTCTGCCAATTCATGACATAGCGCGACCACTTCGCAGTCCCAGCTGTTCAGTACTCCCAGGTTTTCCAATGGTTCTCTCTAACTGATGACAGCTAGCTTATGATGAAATCTTACAAAAGCAAAGCAGCCCGAATTCAACTAAATCGCACACACACAGACACATACACTATATACCTCAATCGGACAAAAACTAGCAAAAGAAACCATGCAGCAATTACTTAGCAACGACGAACACCTTCCACAACAATCAAAAATTCAACACACAAGCTGGATGGAATGCATAAACCTATGCCTAACATACTTCCAATTCAACGGCCAAATATATGAACAAGTCAAAGGAACACCCATGGGATCACCAATATCAGGTTTGATTGCAGAAGCTGTGATGCAAAGGCTCGAAAACATAATTCTATCAAAGATTAAACCTAAGATTTGGATACGTTACGTCGACGACACATTTGTAATAATCAAAAGAAACAAGTTAGATAAAACTCACAACTTAATAAGCAACGTCTTCAAAGACATCAAATTCAAATGAGAAGAGTAATCCGAGAACAAAATCCCATTTTTGAACGTCTTAGTCAAGCGAACAACCACAGAGGAATTAGAAACTCAAGTTTATAGGAAATCAACTCACACAGACCAAATACTGAATTACAACAGCAACAACCCAATAGCACACAAAAAGAACTGCATACAAACACTATTCAAGAGGGCCAGCCAGGACTCATCGCAGCACTCCCACACTAAGGAAAATTGATATCCCATGGACGTCGTCCAAAAGAATGGATGGATATCCACGGAATTTCATCAAAAGACATTCCCCCTCCACAAGCCAACCTATCAAACCAAAAGCCCCAGCCAAGGAAAGCACAAAGAAAATCGCTTTACCATATCATATATAAAGGATGTCTCAGAAATCACTACAAGACTCTTCAAACCTTTAGGAATTGACGTCGTACACAAACCAACAAAGTCACTTCACTCAGACAGCTCTGTGTCAACCAAAAGACTCAACAGCGAAAGGAGATAAAACCAACATCATCTACGAAATATATTGTAACAACTACGGAGAAAACACTACATTGGCCAAAGTGGACGTCTCCCTCGTCTTCGCATCCACGAACATAAGCTAGCCGTCAAGAGACATGACATCCACTTCCTCACTCATATCGCCTCACTGCATACAGACAACCGTGAACATCAATTCGACTAGGACAACCAGTTTTCAAATAATAGACAGAGGAAACAACACCAAGAACGCTAGACAATTTTTAGAAACTTGGTTGGTATTCCAGTGAACAATCAATTAATATACAAATCGAGATAGACAGAATTTATCAACTGATAAGAAAGAAACCTCACACACACACACACACAAAGGGTCAAAGTTCAAGTCAAAGAAACAATCAGTTCCAATACAACAAGTAACCTAGAAGGTGTGAAAACACACATAAACAACCAATCACGTTCAAGTTCGCGCACCAGGACAGATGATTCATAAACTCGTGGAGAAATCTAAAAGCTCACTTCAGTGAATTGAAGTGTATGCGCTGAAGATGTCGCCTAGTTGGGGGGGGGGCGATGAAAGCTTCGCAAATTAACTCTTCAGTTCAGAGAACACAACCACCTCAAAAACACACAGACAGACACATACACGAGCAAACAAATTCATAAAAACTTACAATCATTCTTCCTGTACTCGGTAGTTCATCTACACGTAGACGTAAATATGCCAATAGACGATCAGATCCTAGCAGGCCAAGTGCATTTCCACTCTGATTATCAATAACAAGTAAATACGACAGTAGAGATGTGTACAATGAAGATGGATTCGAATGAGCACAACACTTTGATGATACTCTTTGAATATTATCATTTGATGATGATCCAAGTAATGATGAATCCTGCATTTTATTACGATCTGTTGAATTTGCTGAAGAAGAATGTGAACCAATCAGTGGAGTAGTCGAGGTCGGTGCCGTCGCCGACTGTTGATAAAGAGGTGAATTCAGATTCGCTGCTGGTAGTGATGATGATGCAGAATCATTCCCACCTTCAGAGATACTAACTGCTGATGAGGAATGATTTGAATTCGATGGGAAAAAGGTTGAGGATTGTCGAGCAAATCTACCAACACCACCACCACCAGGACCGACTGTTTCTTCGTCCAGAAATGCTTTCGGTGAATTATTCGGATATGAAGCACGATGACCACTAGCGTTGGATAATTTGAATTTCAACAGATTTTGATGCTGACGATTATTATACTGGTTGTGCTTATTTAGATTATTATGTTGTTCAGGATGATGGAATAAACGATAGAGAGCTTTTTGTAGACAATATTGTGGATGAACAAACAGATCTGTAAGTTGTCGACCATCAGATAGGCCATACATTAAATCTAAAATTATGAACAATATAGATATGATTAGGGTGTTATATATAGGCGATTTGGTGGTAATCATTGAAACAGTATGAGTAGGATGTAACAGTAACACGAATATTAAACTACAACTTTACTTTGAATAATGATAGTAGCGAAAGTGATAATAATAAAAATATTAATGACGACACCAACAATAAGGTAACAAAGATAAACTGCCTAATTTAGCCTCTTCTAAGTGTATCTACCAATTTAACTACTCCTGTGGAGTGAGCCAATTATACACGCCGTACAATTAGGCGTGTTTCTCGTCGGATTTCAAACATCAGCCTGTATAGTGGTGGTTAAGTAAAGGACAAACAAAATCTATTCGCAGGGCTATTCCATCTCATCTTGTGGATGAAACAGAACACAAGATTGACGTTAGCCATGCTTTCAGGGTCATTTACCGCATATCTACGAATCTCAATTTTCCCTTAAGAGTTCGATTACTGAATATTGCTGAGGCTGCTGGGATCCAACATCAAGAAGCCTAATTTGTGCATCCAAATGAAGCTAGTTCAGACATTATCATTACTTTGGCTGTCTAGGTTTGAATGATCCTCAATTTTGTCAAATTTTCCTTAATTTTATTTCATATTCTATTCGCTAGTATATCTTTATTATTGTTATTATTATTATTATTATTAGGCATCTTCCGTGAACACCAGAAGACAAGGGCCAGGCAACAGATCGTTTTAAAATATCAACGCGTATTTATATATATTTTATGTAGATTGATAAGCCTTATGCAAGCAGAAAAAGGCAGTCTTCTAATTGGTTGTTTTTCGGAAGACAAACACAGTCTCCTGATTGGTTGTTTTCTATATTTCTCGGAAAGTATAGTCATTTATCTGCGAATCATATTTGCCCACGCTTAAGTCTGCTGTGATTGGTTGTTGAATCAGCCTAGATTAATATCTGCCAATCAGCGTCGATTAATGTCTACCAAATGGCTAGCAGCCTGCTCTCACCACACTCGTCCCCCCGTCAAATAGCTTCGTACGCAGACGTTCCGACCTTCTGAGTGCTACATCCTCTAGTTGAGGATTGTTACTGATCGGCTTGTCCCACTGTACCCATCGTTGGAGCTGACCGGTATTAACTCGTTTCTTTTTCTCACCTCTTCGGATGGTATATACTTGACCCCGTCTTTTTGTGATTGTGTATGGTCCTTCCCACTTTGGAAGGAGTTTCCGTGAACCTAGCCCGCCTCCAACTGTATATCTCCTGTCTCTACACTTCACTTGGTCCCCGACTGCAAAGGTAATGCACTGCGTCCTTTCTTTCATCTGAGACTTCGCGACATCACTGCGCTGCTTCCGTATTACATTCTTGACTGCCTCTTTCCTCTCTGCTTTTAATTTCGTCGTACTCCACTTTTGGTGCATGGGCCAGGTCTCATTGTGTACCGGTAATCGTGGTTTTCTACCATACATCAGTTGGAAGGGTGACTTCTTCGTTGTTTCCTGAGTGGTAGCCCGATGTGTTAGTAAAATCAGTGGAAGCTCCGTTTCCCAGTTCCCGCCCTTCGAGGCCAGCCACTCCTTCAGTGTACGGTTGTTTCTCTCCGTTAGGCCATTCGTTTGTGGATGGTATGGGGTCGTTCTGATCCTCTTGATGCCCAGCTGTTGCAAACGGGAAGTAAACTCTTCACTCTCGAAACAGGGACCTTGGTCTGTCAGTATTGTCTTCGGTACGCCGTGGTCTGCAACAATGTGTCTAACTACTGCATCTGTCACGGTTCTTGCACGTTGGTCTGGGATTGCTACGGCGTCTACCCATCGTGTCGCGTGTTCCGTCATCACCAAGAGGTACTGATTACCATTGGATGTCTGAGGAAATGGACCCATGACATCTACGGACCACAAGTCACCTATCGCGGTAACTGGAATCGACTGAAGTGGTGGTCGTATGCACCGGTCACCTTTCATCAGCTGGCACCGTGGACATCCAAGTACGTATCTTGCTACGTCTTCTCTCATACCTGGCCAGTACATACTTTGTCTTAGGAGGTCGGTCGTTCTGGCCACGCCTGTATGCGCTAGCTGGTGACATTCTTCTATCATGTCGTGGCGCGACGATTGAGGTATGACAGCCAGCCAGCTTCCGTCGTTCTCTCGCCAGGTCAGAGTCCCGTAGGCATTCACTCTGAGTCGATCCCTCTGTCTGAGTAGTGTGGTTAGCTCCTTACTCGCCGTAGTTTGATCCACTTCTATTCCGTTGGTGATCACCTGTATTACTGTATTCAGCGTATCGTCCAACCTCTGCCTACGTGCAAGTCTTAGTGGGTCTTGTTCTACTGCATGCACTCCGTAAGCGACCTCGGGCAACTCAGACTCATCTTCTGGTCTCGATAACAAATCTGCCAAGACATTTTCACTTCCAGGAACGTGTGAGATCGTAAAATCGTACTCCTGAAGACGCAACATCCACCGTGACAACTTCCCCCGTGGGTCTCTCGCTGTCTTCAAAAATTGTAGCGGCTTATGATCAGTTTCGATGTGGAACCGCCGGCCGAGTAAATAAGGTCTCCATTTGTCGACTGCCCATACCATTGCTAAACATTCTTTCTCTATCGTTGAATACTTTCTCTCTGTGAGTGTCAAAACCCTACTGGCATACTCAACGATTCCCTCGTCCTGTCTTAGGACCGCACCTATAGCGTAGTCACTGGCATCTGTGCACACTGTGAACTGTCTTCCTGGTACAGGTAGTTTTAGCGTCATTTGTTGGTGGTCGAGCAGCTGTTTAATTCTGTCGAATGTCCTCTGCGATTCTTCCGACCAAACAAACTTTGGCTCACCTAGTAGCCTGTATAGAGGGGCTGCTATCTCATTGAAGTTCTTCACGAAGCGACTATAAAACGCTGCTCTACCCAAGAATTGTCTCAGTTTTCTCTTTGAATTCGGGGCTGGAATCGTTTTAATCGTCAAAATTTTCTCCGGCAGTGGTTTAATCTCACCATTTCCCACTTTATGTCCCAACAGAGTAACATTCTTTTTGGCTATCTGGGACTTGGTTTTGTTGACGCGTAGTCCAAACTCTTCGATGCGTCGCAGCACGGCTTCTACATGGTTGACGTGATCGTTTTCGTTTTGACTGTATATGACGAGATCATCACCATAAACCTCCACGTTTTTCAAGTTCTTAAGTAATAGCTTCATCAGTCGTCTGAACGTAAACGGTGCACCTGCTAGTCCAAACGGCATGCGTTTAAATCGATATTGTGTCTGACCCACGATGAAAGCCGTCTTATCTCTATCACCTTGTTTTATCGGTATCTGCCAGTATCCTGAGCGAAGATCGAGAACCGAAAACACATTCGCACCTTGTAGGCGATCTAAAGTTTCTACCACTGTTGGCATGGCACACGGTCTTAACTCTGTCATACTGTTTAACTGTCGAAAATCAACACAGAATCTATACTTCCCATTCGCTTTTTTTACTAACAGCACTGGAGAGTTGTACGGGCTATCAGCTTCCTCAATAATATCATCTTTTAACATCTCTTGCACTTGTCGCTCCACTTCGCCTTCCAGATGACATGGAACTCTTCGCGTTGTAAATGACCTTACTTTCGGATCACTTAACGGAATTTCATGATTCACCTTATCGCAATAACCGTATGGGTCGCCATCTCCAGTGAACAGATGATCGTATTTATTAATTAACTCTGTCACATTGTGTACCGTCGACAGCTTAATCGCTGCTATCTCGCTGGTCTCATACATGTTGATATGCCCGTATTTCGTGATCACCACGTTCGCTTGCGTGTCGATTATTGCACCAATCTCACGCAGAAAATCCGCTCCTAATATCGTTCGCTGTAGTTCGGGTACAACAATGAAAGGAAACGTCACCTCGCAGCCGCCAACAACGACCGTACAGTTCGATCTACCCGTGATACGCAACACATGCCCGCCTACTGTTTGTACTGTCAATGAACACGGACTAACACTCTTACATAAATTCTTATCTATTAACGACACGGCCGCTCCTGTATCTACTAAACATACTACTTCTCGATCATTCACTCGCAACTTCGAATACAGAGCCCCTTTCTCAATAGCCCCCACTAAATCTAGGTTCATACGAAAGAAAGAACAAGTATTATACCGTCTGAAATTTTTTCTTTTTCGCCTTTCTGGGCAGTATCTTCTCCAGTGTCCCGGCTTACCGCATTCAAAACATCGGTCTTTTCTATCACCCAACTTTAACGCCGCCACTTCCCGCTGCAATGCTTCAATTTTCTGCTCATATTCGTTTGGTTTTGGCTGCTCTATAGCGGCTACAGTTGTGCTCAGCAGCTGTCTGGTCACCTTCGCTAGCTCACTAATATCCATCGGTTGCGTTGCGTTAACCAGTTTTAATTGCTGAGAAATGTGGTCTGGGACACTCTCGATGAATTGGGAAGATAGTAACTGCTCTTCTGATTCTTCATCCAACGTGGGAAGCGCCCGTCGAAGTAAATTCGTCAATGTCACCGCCAATACTAACGGGTCTCCATCAGGTCCCAGCTTCGTTGACCGGAACTGCTGCATTGCTAGCTGTCTGTCTGTTGCGCTGTCAAACTCCGACACCAAACTTTCAACCAATTTCTTCCAAGACACTGTGCCATTTGACCTGTCTACGCTGTCATATGCCGCCTTCGCTCGGCCTCTCAACAGGGTCCCCAGAACAACTGTCTTCGCCGCCTGCTCCTTGACACCCACCAGCTCAGCGACGACCTCGAAGTCACGTAAGAAGCTCCGTATGTCTCCTTCTTCAAACGCAGCTGGCCACGGGATCTTCATTTTCGCTGCCCTCAGAAAAATGAAGATCCCGTGGCCAGCTGCGTTTGAAGAAGGAGACATACGGAGCTTCTTACGTGACTTCGAGGTCGTCGCTGAGCTGGTGGGTGTCAAGGATCAGGCGGCGAAGACAGTTGTTCTGGGGACCCTGTTGAGAGGCCGAGCGAAGGCGGCATATAACAGTGT